AACTGCTCGGAAGGCTGGAAGAGCGGTGGCTCCGGAGCCTCGACGGCAGCTGCAGCGTTGACCTTCGTGCGGGATCCACGCACGGCGGCCAAGCCGGCGCCCAGAACAGCGAGTGTAGCCAAGCTGTCCCCGGTTGTCTGCTGAGCAACGGGTGTACGAGCAGGAGCGGTTGAGGCCGCACTTTTCCTCAGCTGGCTCCCTGAGCGGCCGGCAGAAGGAGCGACGAAGGCGCTAGCGGAAGCGGCAAGGCCGACGACAAGGCCTGCTGCTGCGAAGCGTGATTGCACGGCCGGCATGGCAGCCAACGGCAGTGAGAAAATTGCAGAGGCTTCTGTCTGAAAATCTCTTAAGCCAACATGACTCACAGCTATTTTTGACCTGCACATGCGCATGCACGTGCATACATATGCATGCACCTGTGTGAACGAAACGATATACATAGTTGCATGTTGCGACTATGCCCACACATTAATTAATGCCTAAGCTGCGGGGCTTCAACAATGAGCTTCTGGAGCACAACCGACATGTCCGAGTCCTTATCCCGCCGGCCCGAGCCCACTTCGCAGAAGAACATGAGGGTGCCCCACCTCAGGTGCAACGGAGACTGTCCCATGGCATTGAGGCCGTTCGGCTTTCGCGGAAATGCGGCAGACTGGCCAATCTGCCAAGCGGCTCCTCTTCGATAGTGCGCAGAAAATTGCCTCCTCGACCCGTAACGAAACCAACCTTGACGGACGGCTTGTAGGCGGGAATGTACACTTTGGCAAGAGCAGCCGAAGGGCGGGCACGCTTTGTAGGCTACTGCTTAATCCTATCTGCAAGGCATTGAGAAACCAAAGCGTACCGGCAAAATGACATGCAGTCAAGCAGCGGTCTCTTGTGGAACTAAGAGCATGGTCAAGTCGTCATCATTATACCTGAGACTGTTGCATATCTCTGCGACTCTCTGGAGTGAGCTAGAGGGATACACAGGTGAGTGGCAGTATACCTCGTTGAAAGCAGATCAGAGGATCTGGCTGGAGTTTAGGATCAGAATTAGCGATAATTAGCGCGCAGAAGCCATTTGTGTTGAAACTCCTTCGATACAGACACGTTCGACGGCTTTTGGTTTCACTTCCCAAGCGAACAAAACTGTTCTTACGAAAAGTTAAACGTGCCTGATGCATCCTGATGCGACCTAAACCTCAAATCTGCAAGCCTGACGTCGTCCAAGTCACTCTTCGGTGATGTTGACAGGTCCAGTTCTCTGCGCCATGACTCCCTCACCTTGGGTGCCCGCAATTCGCGGCGTCCGCCAAAAACTGCTGCCTCTAAAGCATGCTCAGGCCTGGGGTTTCGCAGTTTCACGCACATCTCACGCTGGTTTCAGTGCTTCTCTCCCAGGCCAGCGCATGACACCGCCAGTATTGCGACATGCGGCAGTACTTCTTCGCCCGGCGCCGCTGAACCTTCGATCCCCGGATCTCCTCAGAAGCCACAGGATTGCAGATTGCAGGCGGCAGTCAAGTTGGGATGCTCCTTTGCCCCACAAAACTAGACGGCAAACTACAGCATGATGACAGGAGCTGATGAGAACGTAGAACCACCGAGTTCAAGACCTTCCAGTCACGGCCACTTGGGAATGTGTCTTCATTGAACTGTCGAGGCTAACCCCAAGCTGGATTATGCCTTCTCAAGGCAAGATAGCGAGTTGTCAAAGTTGCCAGGCATTCCAGCCTCTTACTGCTGGCCCGCTGCTGCGGTCAACGAAGCAGCAGCTGCTTCACGCCAAGTGGCCAATATAAGATCTCTCTCGAAAAGCTCAATGTCGGCACCCGATACACGGGCGATCCTGGGACATCAAGAAAGCAAAAGGTGTCGGAGGCTTCTCACCAAGTAAGAGAACAAGATACTTTCGAGAACTTGAGCCCAAACATCAACCTACGGCAACACGGAAACCAACAGTGCCCAGCGTCTTTTCCTTGGTCTTGCCACCCTTACCAAGGATAAAGGCTGCATCGTCATCTGTGATCTTCAAAGTGTCTACCTGAGCGCGCAGGTTTGCCAAAGGGAACCGATTGAGGAACTTTCTGTTGCGATTAACGGTGAAACTATACCAAATACAAGTTCAAACAGTGCCAGTAGCTTGCGCCAATCGGTTTCTGCCACCGGCGACAGGGGTCTTGCTGCTTGCCGCGGACCAGGTTCGAAGCGCACAAGCGCAAACAGATTTTGCACATCGTCGCCCGGCAACACCCAAGACTTAAACTCGTTACAGTGGCGACTGCACGGTGCAGCCGACAATCTGGGCCGTTTGGACAGCTTTCCGGTAGATGTTTCAGCCCATTGGTCGAATACGGGGCTGATGGTCGGTTCATGTAATCCTAGAAAATGCTGGGGTCGTGGAAAAACTCCTTCACTGCACCGCAGTGGAGAGGGCTGTTATGCCCACTCGCCCAACTTCAGCCTGTGGCAACACGGGAAGTGAAGCAAGACGTGCAAGTGACAGATTTGGGCTACTTTTTTCAGGGGCAACTGGGGCATGTGCGCTCGTGGGGCGAGTGTACTTTCTCTTCAGATGCCCAGGCAGAGCAGTCGCAAGTGGGACGAAGAAATTCGTTGAGCTAGCTGGCGCTAGGCGATGCACTGCGCTGTATCGTGCTTAATGCGTTACGAAGCTAGGACGGCTAGGACCCATTGTAGAACATGGAGATATGCGACTGTTTGCTGCTATGCATCATACAGAATCAAAACGCAACGTGGCGCATTCCCTGGTGCTTCGTCTGATGCGGCACAGTCCTATACTCTCGCTCTTTTCAGTGTGTATTCTTGCGCTTTCAACATTGGTTGTCTTGTTGTGCGTTGATCTGTCATTTGCTCTGTGTCCCGCATGCTATATGCTGCTGTATTTACAACCAAATGTTAGGTTGATGATGAATATTATTCATGTGAGGTCTTTTATCACGGCTGTGATTATCGCCACTGTTTCTGCATATCAAGTTTACTGTCATTGCCCAGGTGGTCAACACAAGCCGACCTTCTTGTACTTTACAGTGTGATGTAATGGTATGATTCAACGAACCGTTATCTGGGCATGGAAAGAGTACCCAGGGAGCCCCAGGTTGATTCCAGGCGAGATGCTCCATAGTCTTCAGGCTTCTTTTCTCTAGCGGCCTGACAACAGGGCTTGCGCCGAGCTGAAGGCATTGACAAGACAGGCCATCTGCACCAAGCTTAAGTGGCTTTGACATAGCGACATGCTGGAAGCAGCAGCTGAATCCAGAAAGGCCCTAAGCGATGGCAACAGCACTCAAAAAAAGACTGCGGCGGCTCTTGTCATGGCCCTGCAAGCAGCCGTACTTTCACTTCTTGCCAAAACCCTCCAGGTGGAGAACGCTTGCTGCACTAGGCCCCAAGTTCCCGAAAGGGGTAGAAAAAGACTTCCTGCATCCTGGTGGACCACAGTGTGTCTTGTGACCGGCTTCAAGACCAGGTGTAGCGAAAGCGTATGCAGGCCGAAGATCTCAGACCTCAGCCAGCTTCATGGTGCTCCGCCACCTGCTGTTCAGCCGCTTGAGCTGGCTTGTACCCAGAATCTGCGATTCCCAGCACCATCCATTGCGACAGAGTCTTGGGAAGGGCAAGCCCATCCAATCCCCTCGAAGCAGACTTCCCCAAAACTGGCCAGATGCTTTGCCGTCGTCTTTCCAAATTGCTCTCGTTGCTCCACTTGACCCGACCAAACGACAGCAAGATGATGGCTGTCGTCATGATCGTCCCCGGATCTGGGCAGATGAAACCGTGAGAAGTTGGCCTGTTGCCCAGCCAGTCTGCAGAGTCAGGACCATCTCGTCGTTTGCAGGCGCCATCCAAAGGAAGAGCAGGGCTAGGACTTCGATGAGGAACGCTTTCTGAGGTGCACGGCCATCTCGACATGCGCTGAGCAGGGAAAGTGGTCAAGCAACACCAGTCGACAAGCATCGTGGGTCTTCAAGAGTGCTTCCTGAGATCATTGCATGATGATATTGAATGCAGATCGCATAGTTATTGCCGGGCTGCCCCGTGTGATACCTCACCCTCTGCGGACCGCGTACATCGAAACCCGTCTCTCTCTCAAGCCAGCAGATACCAACAGCAGATCATGGCCAAAAGGACTCTCCACTCAGACAAGCTCCTCTCAAGACAAGCATCTAGGTTGGATCGCAGTGCTTGTGGATTGCAGGAGACGTAAAGGATATGGTCATAGCCTGGCGGACAATGCCACTGCGCGCCCAGCCAAGCATGACACAATGCCACGCCGATCCCTAGCGTCACCCGAGTCAGCGCAGCACAGAATGCAGACTCTGTGTGTCCCGATCTGCCTGCTACTGCCTCCAGGGTGACCGAGTCCAAACCGGCTCTGGGTGGGTCCACGACCTGGCCGCAAGCTGCGGCTTGTTCGGGATGAAAGCCACTGGTCCTACAGATTCCTACAGGTCTGCCCAAACTTGCTCCTTTCACGTGCGTTTTTGGGGCAGGTAATACTGAAGCCCCTCGGCGCCTGAAATTCCAAACCTTCGTGAAAGCCAAGCAGCAGTGCATCCGAAGTGAAGTTGAAGAGGCCTCGTCAAATCAGGAGCCCTGCACCGCTGCCAGTTGTAAAAGGTCGACACACACCTCTCCCCTCCACTTTGGACAAGCAGCGGAGCATGTTCACTACGCAGCTCATAGCCACGGCGACGGAGCACCCGCCTGCAAAAGTCCTGGGTACTGAGGCAGCGCAGCTTCATATGTAAAGGAAAAAACGGCAAGGCAAAAGGCAAGACTTTGCTGGCCGAAGTCTTCGGAGGGTGCTCGCATGACGGTTACATTGTCCAGGCCATTCGATGCCACGTTGTGCCTACGCTCCGACAAAAGCAACACTGACTACATGACAGCATCCAGGGTGTCGTCATGAATCTCAGCGTAACGTGACTTGCCACCCAAGCGGCTTTGCAGCAGCAACTAAGTGCCGGTTGATCCTGTGGAGCCGAACGATCACACTCAAGACATGGCCTGCACATGCCTTCACCCTCCTGGCGGCCTACACTGAAAAGCCCGGCTCTCTCGCCCGCTCCCCTGACACCTAACGAGTACTTCTGAGAGACATCTGACAAGTCCTGACAATCTTCCGGCTTGGAACTTCTTGCGAGGATGTGATGACAAGGTTTTCAGATCTGCACAAATAGCACTTGCAAGCAAGGCTCTCAACTGCCAAGACGTGCCGGAAAAGGGGTGCCAGTACCAGCGTATGACTCCCGGCACCGCAGTACAGCTCCAACAAGTCCTTCAGCCAGAAACTGGAAAGTGACGCCCCCACTGAGCCCTGACTCAAGTACAAGCAGGCGAGGTTCCGTCGTGCCACCAAGCTCATGCTGGACAATTTCAGAAAGCCAGTCGGCAGTAGCGATCGCCTGCTACTGTCAGAGTTCGACAAAAGGACTAGCAAAGCTGGCAGGCTGCAACACCCTCCGACTCCAACATGTTGCCGTTTTCCTGGGGCTGGTGCTATGTGCGGGTTCGGGTTCGAGAACTGCCCGAAAGGCTGGCGATAGCCTTGGGAAAGCATCTTGCTCTGCTGGGCTGAGGACCAAAATCGACCACGCTTGGATTTGCGCCGGGATGCTCACGGGCCCTCGGCCTGGAATCTCCAGAAGTTCATCCACGAAGTCACAGCCTGACAGTTCGGATGTTCGAGCTGCACTGACTCTTCTTTTCTACACGCATTATCCTACAGTCCACGGCGGCACTACCGAAAGACCGTCCCACCTTCCGGAGAGCATCGCATTGTGCCCTTGGCGGATGCCATCGTGACAACCTCCCATGACTCGATTCGTGGATGCAGCTCCAGGCTCAGGTTCTTTGCTTTTCCTCTCGTATCTGACCGGGCCGCGAGTCGAATGTGCGAAGAAAGGCTCGCCGTCACCGGCTTTCTTGTTCTCGAGACTGCAAAGTAGGAACCAGCTCTTGATCGGAGCTACAGGAACCCAATGCACTGCTGCCAAACACCCGACGACCTTGCTGCGTGCGGAGCTCTGTTTGCATTGGAGACCGGAACATAACTTTGGATCTGCCAAGTACCACTATTCGTCTGGAGCCGTTTCCAGCTGTGGCATGCTGGGCGTGTGCTGAGCATACCTTGCATGTGTTGTGAAGTTGTCAGAGTAGCCTCGTTTGACTCGGCTTTGTCGTGAGTGGAATGAGGCTGCTTCTCTCAAGGCAACCAGCTTCCCGATGCGCTGCCCATGTGGTTGCGCCAGCGCGGAGTTGTGCCGTTCGGAGACATAGGGTTCAACAGTGATCAAGTTTTGATCTTGCAGCGATATGTCGCTGACGCGCTTGATGGGCCACGCCTTGGAGTGGAGAGCCGGGCTCCGTTCAGGAGCCGGATGAGTTGTGGCGCCGGGCCCTTTTTTCTGCTGCTGCCAACTTAGCGGACTCTGCTGAGGCCTTGCCGGCGGCGGGGGGTTGCACACCGTTCGTCGGGTTGCAGCTCCAGGGGAGAAAAGACCTTCTGCAATTAAGGCCGAAGTGATACTGCTCTCATCTCGCGAAGGTGCTCCCCGGCCGAGCGACAGGATGGGCGTGTGAAAATTTGTTCTCTTAAAGTCGATGGAACATGTCACAGTACATGAACACCCGCCTTGGTAGCGTGTCCCGCTGCGCAAAGTGCCTCCTCCAAACCTGACGCCGCATTCCGCGATGATGCCGAGTCTTCTCGGGCTAAGATTGGAGCACGGTGGCATAGCAAGTGTCCCGTGTCAAGACCCGTGAAATCCTCACTATGGGAGCCTTCAGACACACCATGGTCCCTGACTGCGGAGCGACGCACTCCGTGGCACGAGCCAAGTGGCGAAGGCGCAGCTCCTCCAGGAGAAATCCTGCTCGTTGCTGCTCAAAGAATCTTCCAAAGCTTTCCAACTCAAATCCGAAGCTTTGCAAAGCCCATCCTTCCGCGGGAGCAGCCTCGGGGCCGTAGACCAAACCTGGCTTTCGAGTCAAGGCCCGAATAGGTTGAGAGCAAGAAGATATCTTCACTCCAAACTCGCACCTTGAAGGAATCTGAATGTCGCCGGGCAACAAACCAGCAGCTGAGGCGGTCGTCCGCCGAGAGTGCCGTGAAATTTCACCTGAAAGAAGTGCCAGCCCATGCGAATCACTTCTGAGCAAGATATGGGGTGGTGATGCAAAGAGAATCAAGCGGCGGCGTACTAGTATGTTATCATAACACACTTATTACGCACCATTGCTTCTTTGGGGCATCACAGTATCACTGACGACTGCTAGACGACTGCTACTGAGACTGTCCGCTACTGCTGCATTGCTATCATACCGTACCCACCGGCACATAGCACCACAATCGCTTCCATCCCGACACCCGGTTCTCCTGTTCCGAACAACAATCCTTGAAAGGGGGGGGAGCCTGCCCATCCCTCAGGCAGAAAGCTCGCATTGATGTGCAAAAGGCTCCGAGTCACGCAGCGCAATCCGCGAAGCATCTCACCCAGCCGCTCCGAACTGGGCCAGCCGACATGAGCCGACGCATGAATCACGGGGTTGTGTCGAGGCCTTCCCTAGCGCCCGAAACGAAGCGGGGCCTTCCCAGCAGGTCCGCAACAGCCGGAAGTGCGGCAGAGATCTGGGTGAGCAACGTCTCCTCTCAAGCTCATGCAGTTAGCAATTGCCAGTGCTCGCTTGGCCATGTCCGAAGCATCCACACAGGCAGTTGCGAGCGTCTGATGGGAGGCTCCTTGCTTATGTTGGCCTCGAGTGTGAGGCCGCGGCTCCCATCTGGCACGTACCTGACGAATCTCTCCGTGCTAGTCGAAGCAACAGGGTGGATACCCTGCGACGTAAGCCTGAAAAGACCCGCGCCGTCCGAGCCGTCTGACGTGGTGCTGGCTCCCACCTGTGCCGCATGTGCAACACTAGCTTGCCTCATTATTGCTCATTTCTGGTGATGACAATCGTTCCGATGGTCCCAGCCAGTAATTCTAGCTTCGCGCTTCTTAGACAACCTATGCCCAGGATGAGAGGTGTCTGAGAGCTGCTTCCAAGGCGCTGCGACGATAGTCCTGTCAGCTTGCATGGCACACGCTGTCACATGCAGCAGCTGAATACAGTACCTTGCAACCGAAGGCTTCCGCTTGTCGTTGCACTCTGCACCCGTCCTGGCTCGGAAGTGCTGACGAGGCGACTCTCGCACCTCCTCGGACACTGGAACACGGGGCTGTGACTTGCAAAGAGGAGCAACAAAACATGTGTTACGCAAACCCGATGTTTTTTTGCTTGCAACAGGAGATGGAGCGAGCACCATCATGCCGAGGAACGAGTGCGTCCAAGGCAGCAGCCAAGCTGCCCTCGCCTGCACGTCAGAGGACACATGTGCTGGACATGGTGATGGTGCGGAAAAACAAACGACGGGGTTATCCAGCTTAGATGAGGTCAACTCGTTCCACTACAATCTACCACCAGCCATACAGGCATGTTACGACCTGCGTGTCAGCAGTGAATCTCAGGTTCCTCGTTTCAGGACTGAAGGCTTCGGACGCTCTCAATATCCACTTCGTGACTTCCTGCCTCGCAGGGGCGCCAGCAGCTCATGCCTGAATCAGCTTGCATCAGATGGATTGTGATGAGTGCAGTGTGGTGCTGCTGGATCAGGGCTGACGCTGAGAGCGCAGCACAGCATCCGTCTTCCGGCGCAGCTCGTCGTCGCCCCGACGGAGCGATGCGAAAGCCTCCTGCAGGATCCGCTGGCGCAGGATCGCATATATGGACGCACCCGTAGGTCTTTTCATTCGCTATTGACACGCTCCTCTGTCGACCAGAGGCCCGCTGTACCTGACAGTTCGAGGCTCGAGGTTGGGAGCCTGGAGAGATCTGACTAAGTCGCGGATTTACACACGTAGACGAACGTAGACCATGCTATTGTGGCTTGTGCAGAAGTGGAAAGCACATCAGTGGCTAGGCGGCTAGACAGACTCAAACACTCAAAATGCCGCATGCTACATGATGTCGACCTGCGCGAGTTTCAGCATCACAACGTCTGGCGGAGGTTGCTTCAATATGCTGTGAACCATTCGTCTGTGCAATCAGGAGCAATTCTGGCAACTACTAGAAGCTGTGCTAAGGTATGACAGGTACGGAAAGGCACGCCAACCCCAGGGGGCACACGGTGACAAAAGGCATGACGATTGATGCTAAACCCCATCTCAACGCGAGTTCGAGCGACATGTGCGTAAGTGTTTGACCACATGTACAGTGTGAGTTGTGGTGTCTGGTCAGGAAACCCCGATTGCCCTGCAAAACCTCGAAGCCGCGTGGGATGAAGATGAGACACATACCGGTCTAGCTTCTTCGGGAGTTTTCGAGGGAGGTCTTCCAATTCAGATACCACGGCCAAACGCTGACAATATGCCATACCAGCCTATTTGTAGAGGCCGCGAATTGGGCACACTGTTTTGGGTACACAGCTTGTTGGACGGCACACCTTAGCAACATGAACTTGTAGGAGATGCTTTCCTCATCAGGCTTCACAAAACCCTGCCTAGCCACACACTCCAGATCCACACACAAACACAAACACAGCCACACCAACCTTTCGCTTTCGAAGATCTGGTGTGGCCAACCCCAAGCGCTGGAATAGCACAATATTGCGCTAACACTGAAACCCGACCGTGGAGGCCGCCAGAACCACCTTACAAACATGCGTTCAAACACAACACGGCCTGAAGTCTGAAGCGTGCTCCCCCCGCATAAAAGCTCACAGATACGCATTCGCAGCATACAGAGGTGAGAGATTGCAAACTCCATTGGGCAGCTCCGCATCACATCACAAACGTGATCTTGCTGCTGCCTGACAAAAGCACTCCTTCTGGCCACGTTGCTAGATGCAGCTGTCCCGTGTGAGTGAGCATGCGCTCTTTCCTCAGGCACCGCTTGAAGTCTAAACATCCTTGAAGCACGGGGCCGTCCAAGAAGGTGAGCAACCCTTTCCGAAGTATTCGAGCAAAGCCACATATGCACGTCGCAGCCTTTCCTCGGCACCGTTTGAGTAACCGCCGCGAGTCTCGAGCTCGCCGTTCTGGCCGTCCTGTGTTGTTTTTGTGCCATGCCCCGGCCGTGCAATGCTCCCAATCCCAAACCCGGCGCACATGGCCCGGCCTCTACAGAAGCGCGTGGATCGGAGTGGTCGCCGTCGCCAGAGCCGAGGCGGCCAAAGATGATGCGGTTGTGCGGTGAGATCTGAGAGTCGAACATCCGGAGCGCAACGCGGCAGCGCGGTGCGACTCGACCCATTTCTGCGAGGATCATGGCCGCACTGAAGTTCACGCCCATGGCTGTTGCTGCGGCTTGAATACTTCCGTCCGGATCTTTCGGGCAGCAGGGACAGACGGCAAAGGAGGCTTTGCGAGCCAGGCAGCAGTCCACAATCTCCCGCGCCAAGTGCTGACAAGCGTGACAGGCGACGACCAGCCTCGAACCGGTTGTGGAGAGCACGCTCTCGAAAAACAACTTGCTTGAAAACACACCGGATGCTAAGCGCCGATGCAGATAAACGAATGTCTTCTGCAGTTCAACTGCGATCCAGGCGCACGCTGTCATCGCAGGCACGGAGGACTTCAGGCAATGCCTCGAGACAGGCTCTCATGACGCAAGCGGACACTCGGCTCTTGTTAGGAGCTGCTACTTTGTGTATCTCTTGCAGCTCGACATCGCTGCATCGGCCTGTCGCAAGGGCCTCTCATCGTAGGACACAGAAGCGGTTTGCAGGTACTCGGACCAGGCAGCTCCTGGGAGTCTCCGTGACAGGATGAGGGACGATGACGGGAGTCACGGTGAGGGCGAGGGCGAGGGTGAGAGCAGCTCGATATCTTAGGTCTGCTGCCCTGCATGATCTCCGTGTTGAGCTATCTATGCAAACAGTACATCAGTTCTCGTCTGTGCTGGTGTCACTGAGGCCTGTGCCAGAAGTTTTGCCATGCATTTGGGTGCAGTTGTCAAGGCGTTCAAAAGTTTCTTGCACAGGGGGAACAACGAGAAATAGAAGGGCAATTTAGAGAAAGGCAGGGCGACGGCAGGCAACGTGAGCAGTAATGGCACAAGGGACAATAGAAATAGATGGACTATAGGAAGGCTTCGGGCCAGGCTTGCGCACTGCATTCCGATGGAGTTCACACAGAAATGATGCGAACCACCCAAATGCATGGCACCAGCCACCAAATTATGCTAGATCAACAAATTGAGTTGAAGCCTTGGGAAACTGCATTGCCGATTGGAGCTCACTTAAAAAAAGAGAACTGCTGCACGCCATGCAGATGCAGCAACAAAAAATGAAAGGAAGATGCAGAACACGAACAAAGCTCAGGACACTTGACAGGGCAAGTACGACATGAACATGAACCACTCGATGAAGCTATTGAAAAGACAACACGGAAGCTTTCAATTGAAGGTTTTGACGACAACCACAACAACACGTGACACTCCAAGTTAGTGTTGGTGTGAAGTTGCTTTGTCAGAATTAGTTTTTCGTTGGTTGTCGGTGTTGCTGCAAATTGGCGACAAGTACAGAATGGACCTGATTTTCAAAGACAGACGAAAGTCGGCCACCTCTGCTTGTCTCATAGGATAGGCCAGATGAGGCAGTCTGGTTGGCTCGTCCGACATCGCCCTTTTACACGGGAAGAGTAAGGCAACTACGAAACGCGTAAACTCAGACCGCTTCCCTCATACATTCCTGGTTTGTACAGGGGAAAGGACAAAAACTCAAAATCGTGTGAACTCACATCGGTTCCCTCACCTTCTATAGAGTTCGAGATGCCTTTACACGAGAGTTGCGCGGAGACTGCAGCGCGCCGCTTGCTCATGAAAGCGTCAGGCCAGGCTTCTCAGGAGCTCGTGCGAAGGTGGCTTGGACTGATCGATGATCACGAGACGCCCTGCGACTCCGTGAGCGACGAAGAGCATCCCCAAGCCACCGTGGCCGCCACAGACCTCCACCACCTCGGACAGACTGAGCGGGTCTTCGCTGGAAGCGGTTGTGCTAACAGAGTCCACGAGGCCAGGGGGGGCCGGGGGCTGTCCGCCGCTAGGCTCCCCGGCCGTCTTTGGAGCGCATCGGCGGGCATCTCGGCGCACGGCATCGTAAAAGGCACACGCCTCCTGACGCAGGACAGGGGAGGAATTGGCTGTCAAATGATCCGGTGCTGGCCTTGCCAGAAGTGGATCATCTGGATGCGCACAGCAGCTCTGGGCACAGCGATCGCAGTGAATTGCTGTCCTTCATTTCCTTGCTGTGGATTGCCCGACCCTCTGCCAAGAAGGAGCGCCATAGCTTGCTGCGAAGGCTCTCCTGCCAGCGGCGGGCGTTTCGGATGCAAAATTAAATCTCGAAACCCAGGACTCGAAGCGTCATCGTCCAGGAGCCTTGGCATGCTCCTCCGCTGCTTCTGGTGCACTGCCGTCTGCCACGTCCGCCATGCCCAGAGGGCGACAGAGACTTTGACAGTTTGATTTGTGTAAATCTTCGCTGTACCAAGAAAACTCAGAGTTCAAGTCGCAAGCGTTGTCGGTCTGCTGAATTCTGTGTGTTCCTTCTGCTCGGGAGTCGTTGCTTGAGCCAGTCCATGATGCCCCAAGCAAGCCTACAGTACCTCGCGTCCTGTGAGCAACCTCCATCTGTGGCCACGCTGATTTCCCAAATATAGTCCACCAGCTCGAAAAGGAGCCTCGCTTCGACTGCGGCTTCGGTTGCCGGCATCGCGCCTCGCCGAAAGACTTGAGGCGACCACGTAGTACTACTAGCACTGTAGGTCAGAAGTAAAGTGCTCGGAAGTAAAGATTTAGTAGAGATGGTCACCGATGATCAATTGAGAAGACTTGTTCTTACCTACCTGCGCATGCATGCATACATCTGTGCCTATGCGACACGGTGCATCCAAGCAGGTAGACATCCATCCTCACCTCGATCATGCCTTGTACCCATCCACTGCATCAATCAACTTAAGGTAAGTCTGCTTGTACTGCGGACGGCTACGTCTGCACACATGCAAACATGCGCATGTGGGCGCACATGCCTCCGCATACCTCTTGCTTGCAGGCAGACAGACGTAAGCGAAGGTAGCAGAGTGATTCGCATGCGTACAGGACGGATACACATTTCGCATGGTGCTCAGCCTCAGCTGCAAGACTTTTGAATTCTGTAGCCTGTCCTAGCATGCCCAAGGCGGCCACGATCCCTCCTTCTCTGGGCTTTAATCGGTTTTCGAGGTCGACAAATTTAGTCACTTGTTGCCTGCTGGCCAGCTCCTAGCCCGTACTGCGGCGTTGGGATGAAGGCCGCTCGAGAGTTTTACATGGTTTTACGCTCAGTTTCAGATTTGGGCGTAAAGTCAATCAAGGTCTTTGCTCAATGCCACAGGAATTTGCACAACGCCGAGGGCCTTCGGCTATCCTTGCGCTCCTCCCGGCGCTCTCGGCTGTCCCTGGAGGCGAGAACTTGCAACAGATCTCTGAAAATGTCCTGGTTGACAGCCACGACATTATGAAATTATATATGTGGACTGAGATTCCGGAGTCAAGCCTGGTGATGTCACTTTCCGGCCTCCTGCGGCTGCGACTTCGGCTTCGATCGCCCATTGACCTGTCAGGCTCTCGGCTTGCTGTCCGGACTCACCGTCTGAATGCCTCTCTGTCTTGCGATGCAGCTGCCTGCCTCAGTGACGTTCAGCAGCCTGCAACGAACACAGGGGCAGAGGCTGCAGCCCTACAATCTGAAGTGCTGAATACGGATCGCAGCACCCCTTTCCCACTCCCCTCGCCGTGCCCGACGCCTGAAGGTCTGGAGGAAGTCATCCCTTGCTTGGACCTCCCTCCAAGCCAACAGCTGCGGTGTGCGAAGCGAGTGTTTTGCGAAACGAAACGCCGACAGAGGAGCTCGACTGCGAAAGCTGCGAGAAGGGAGTTGGCAGAGCGGCAGAGTCTCGAGCGACTTCGACTCATGTTCGAACTCCCGGAGCTGAGTCTCGAGCCATGGGGCCACGGCCCTTTGGCATGTCGAGGGACCAAAAGACTCCCAGAAGCCAGACGACTATGGCTATGGTGTAATATGCTGTACTCGTTTGTTCAACTCTGACCACTCTTGAGCTGCATGGCTGCAAGAAACAAAAGACTGACTGCTAGAGGGCTCCGGCGTCGGGTCGTGAGGGCTCCAAACGAACTTCCGGTCTGTGGTCTGCTTTGAGCAGAGGTCCATGATCTCGTCGAAGGCAACTCTCGAGTTGGGGTGCAAGTTGTTGAAGGCGTAAATCCTCACAGGCAACGCCAAAAGGCGAAGGCGTTTTCATCAAAGAGACTCTTTGTTTTGTACTTGCAATGTACCTTTGCCTCTCCAGGTGTGCATCGCGGTGAGCACCTCAGTGAAGCTTCTGATTTCGCTTTGAGCCCATGCAGGGTCTCTCAGCGTCGCAAACGCAAGCAGCTGTGACCACGGCTGCGCATGTAGGGCGACAGGGCGCGGAGGAGGTCTGTGAGCTCCTCGCGCGAAACAGACCTGTCGGCGGATGTGCAGCGACTGTACAATCTCCCCTGCCAGCGCCGCACCCTTCTTGCTCTTCGTCGTACATCATGAAGGCGAATCTGACCTGAGCACGATTCCTACGGTCCTAGAACCAACGTCAGACAGACGGACAGGCAGACAAACAGGCAAACAAAAGGCAAAGGCACAGGAGTTAATGAATCGAGTACAGGCGTGACAAAAAACAAAAAGGGAATGAAGTATCAAGCCAAAAGCAGGGACGAGCGAAAGCGTTTCGAGAAAAAAGCGGGTCACGGGCACCTGCTGCTGTGATACGGGCTGCACTGCAACAGATCAGTACGGAGTGCAAGGCCTTCTCTTCCAGCCCCGATTTGGCGAACCTGCGCAGGCGAAAGCGCTGGCGGGCACAAAATGGAACAAACAATCCAAAGCAAAGAGCAGCCTCGCAAAGTCACCCCTTTTTTGTCGCGTCGTGCCGAGATGCCCCACGCATCTAAGTCGATCAAAGCGATCAGGTCATCACGGGCCATGACGGGACCACTCGCAAAGGTACCAAATGCCAGACCCTAAAAAGCACGAGAGCCCACCGTGGCGGCGGGCAGGGGGAAAGGGGAACAAGCTGAGAGATCGAGCTGCCATCAAGCTACAACCCTACGACCGAGCTTGACCCACCTTGGGCTCCGTGCAACTCCCTACAGCTGCAGGTCTGACACGGCGGAGAGCGAATTAGTGGTGGGCACAAGAAGTGACGGAAACAGCCAGGCCGAGGGCGAGAGCGAGGCCAGGCCAAGCTTAGTCGAACTCGAAAGATATCCTCTGGGATTTGTTAAGAGTAAGTGCGTGCTTCTACTCCAGCCTGGCTCTAAATGTTCTGCCCCTTGTGATGAGCAGAGCTCGGCTACTCAGCGGCGAAGCACCAAGCAAAAACCTGTCGAGAAAGCTTCTGATGTTCTTGGATCAAACCCTGGATAGAAAAGTTCAGCTGAAAGCCTTCACAATATGCCACGCTCCAAGAACACGAAGGGCTTGAAACGCGGATGTAGAAAAGAATAGCTTCCACTGCCAGGCACCTCCGTTTCTACACTTCGGGCCTGGTTCGCTTAAACGCTCAGAGCCACGGCTTTCCTTCAGAAGGCCGAAGCATGAGCCTCCTTGAGGCCAAACTTCCTGTGAAAAGCAGGCAGCGTCTGCCAGCGTCACATGCGTCACGGGTAAGACGGTTACGGTTCGATCTGGTCACCCCGGGCCATCCCCATCTCGTATGCGCGGGCCTTGGGTGAGTGGGTGAGTAAATTCATGGAAGCGTGGGTGAAGCCCGGCGTGGCCGTCAGCTAGCCTGCCTTTGGCAGGGTCTAGAGCGAAGCGATGATGATGCTTTCTGTATCACGGCTTTCTGCCTGGGGAGCTGGTGGCCTCTCCAACGCCACGGAGTCAACCATCACCTTGCAAATACTAAACAATCCATGTTCTAACTGCGGTCTTCGCTGTCCGATTCACACAGGGTGCGAGTCAAGTTCATGCAGAGCTGAAGATGGACCTCTGTGCAGCCAACACACAGCATATGAATCTTCTTCCATGCTGGCCAGCTCCTTCAACGACGACGTGACGGGAGCGCCGTCCAGAGCCTTGCCGGGTAAAGGTACCGGCGTTCACAGTTCGCACATTTCGCACTGAACGAGAATGAATGGCCACACCAGGAACAGAGCTCAGAGCTGAGGGCACACCAAGTTCGGACACCCAGTTTCTTCTCAGCTTCTGCCGCAGGCCCTTGCCTTCCCTCCATGAAATCTCTGAAACAAGTGAGCTGATTTTTTCTGGTCTACGGAGAGGGCTCCGTCCTTTCCCGCTCCTGTTTCAGGTGGGCACCGACATTCGCAGCCAAAGATTTTAACAGGATTTCAGGAGTTTGTCGTCGGCAATCCAACATAAGTTTCTGTCTACACTCCGAACACCCCCCCCCCCTCCCTCACGCTCATTAGCAACAGCAGATGTGAAGGGTACAGTAGCCCTCATGTTTTTGGCCTTCGAAACCAAGATGTCATCTGGGCATAGCTCCATAACCCACTACCTCATCAGTGCAGAAAGAGGAGCTTCTCCTGTCGGGGAGACCGGGCCAAGAAGTGACGGTGACGTCGGCGACGGCGGCGAAAGCGGCGAAAGGGGAGGGGACGCCAAAGTACTGCCTGTGTGACTGCTGAGAAGTCATGCAGAGGCATCTACAAGAAATGCCCACATACATGCTGCGTGCAAGGAGGCTGTGCGTAAGAACCTCACTTTGACATCATCACTACCCCTAAGTATCTGCGAGCTGGTCGCTGACACACACGACATCGGTCCTCACTGTAGAAGTCCGACTGTTTCCCCTGTTCAGGAATCTCTTTTGCACCTATGTGGCCACTGGGCGTCAAGCTTGTAGAGCCAGTGCTCGTACGGTGGGAGAGGACGGTGTACACGGCCGAGTGCCCTGAGCCAGCATGGGATTGAAATCGACATGAGTGCAACAGTGGCCTAGTAAAGTCCGAGAAATACGTTGGCCAGCCCCATGCCATCCGTCGCACTTCGTTGAGCCAAGCAACTGGACAACTCAAGCGGCGTCAGTCCTCTATGGTTGCAAACCTAAGTGCGTTGGGCTGGGAGCATTTCATATCGAAATCGGGTCTGCCTTTCGGCAACGACATGCGCCGGCCTGTGGATCAGCGCCTTCATCCAGAAGATAGTCCAAGAGAGCATCACCTCCAAACCTCGATCCCCATCCAAACGCACTCAACAAAGCACTACCTTGATGTTGAATGCAACTGCTGGAGAAAACTGTCTTTTGCTGCTAGTAGTGAAGGACCTCAGCTCCCTGATTGGCCGGGGCTCAATGCTGCATAGCCAAGAGGTGTCGTGCTCCCCTCCCCCAGCACTCTCACGATGAGGGGAGGCTCCTGCCAACCAGAAAGAACACCTACTCAAATTCAATTTGGCAAGCAGTTCACGGACCCGGCGCCACTGCGCCAAGGTGCAGTGATCTGACGTTGTTGCTGGCTGTTGCACTGCTTCGGGTGACCGATTGTAGCGGATGTGGCAGGGATGACGCCCTTCCCTTCGACAGTTCGGGCTCCGTGGGGGTCGGTAGCATGTCTTTCTGGGTTTAGAGGGTGCCGATGGGTGCCGGCTGCCACTTCTTTTGTGCCTGCTAACGAGCACCCCCTTCAAGCCCCCTTCCTCATGATTTGCTCACACAGCAAGTTCGCCGTCATGAGCGTTGTTGTTTCGATTTCATGCTACGTTGATTTACAGGTCAGCTCACAGGCAAGTGCGGCAAGCACCCGGCCCTACAATGTCTGAGGGCATCTCTGGAGGAGGCACTGTTATCCGGTTTAGGGCTGGCTTGGACCCCTCTCTGTTCCATCAGCCGTCCTTTCGAATGCGCATAATGAGCCGGCAGGCAAGCTCGACGGACCGAAACAGCGGACCAGCCTGGTCTCCGGGGAAGAGCCGAGAGACTTTCCGGATAGAAAGTTACAAGGCAGCCAGCAGGCCTTCGCCCGGCAATCGAGGTCTGCCCTGGCTGCGATCAACATCTCTGCTACCTCCCTTAGCTCACATGAGAGGGTTTTCACACGCAGGCAAAGAGCCAGCAGTAGCTCAAGTCCAAGATGCAAGGAGTGAGGATTTCCGTGAGAGTAGATGGCTAAGGAGTGGAGCGGTGTCAAGCCGATCCCACCTACAAGGCAGCAAGGCGACGAGAGGACACTCTCTGGCATGGCATCCTTCACGAAGTGTCCTACCCTGACCCTTGCAGCCTTGCAAGGGGCGGGACTGACGGGGAACAGAAGACAACGGGGCGCTGCGGCTGGCGGGTTCTGCTTTCGACAGGGAAAGTGTTTCGTTTTGCTTCCGGACATAGACTGTTGCTGTCCCAAGTAGAGTTCAAGCAACTCTCTGTCCAAAGCTATCAGACATGCGGCCATCAATTACCTCCAACACCTAGCCTAGCCCGACACATGCTCGACCTTACAAACAGCCCTGTATTTTGGCTCACGTCGGGCCTTTCATCAAGTTCACGTCGCCGCGTAACTCCAGGAGCTTTGCGACCACAGCGGGTTTGGGACACTGGAGGCATGCCTTGTTTTTCAACGACCCGCTCCTGCTTTCGAGGACTTCGGCTCATGATGCTTCAGTCCAAGCCGCCAGGGTCAGAGGAGTTGCCATAGCCAGCGGCTTCATCTGATTGATGTCAGCTCGGTACTGCACCTGTGCAGGCCCTTTATCAGCTCAGCTTCGATTCAGCTGTCCGGGGCAATGCAGAACAAGCCATGTCAGCACACCTTCGGGTACTCCGACCCCAAACTCATGGAAGGATGATATGATGGTGGGGTACTCCGACCCCAAAGTCATGGAAACTCATGGAAGGATGATGTGATGGTGGGGAGGGCCCGGCCACAGCTAATTTTGCTCCACTCATCCCTGGATGTGGACAGATTGAAGCACGGGGCTGCTCAGCTCAACACCTGGTCTACATCTACATCTAATCCTACTTACGACCTCGAGGACTGTGACAATACTCTGCGCTCGGGGATGTTGTGGCACAGTACGCCGTACGGTATGATCCTGAACAAAGCGCTACACCACACATGAGGTATGTACCGTCTTTGGTATCATATGTCTCGGTCCGACGCTCGGCGACACGAAAGCAAAAAGCAATCAAAGGCGAGCCAAGTGCAACGAAGCTGCGAGGAGCTCGATTGCACGTGGGCTCTCCTAGGCGTATGGACCCCAACAGCACAGATATAGACTTCGTCCTGTCATGGGTCAGCGCTGCTGGTGCGCAGGCAAGACTCGCAAGTCCCGAGAATAGGATGGCCCAACTTGTTCACTTGGTTGGGATCTGCTCCTCAGTGCAACCGCACTCGTTCCGGCTCTGCGCCCATGCGCTTCCAAGCTTTCACTTGCCGAATCAGAGAGAGGTTCTATGTCTCGTTGCTTCCTCGCTCGATTTAGAACTCGGGGCTTGCCAAGATGCGGAGCTCCAAGAGTGCCGCCACCGCCTCGGCATCCTCGTCGTCCCGCACACCCGCGAGATGTAAAGGCGTCCAGTCCTGCCGGGAAGCAACTTTGGCACACTTCCTGCAGCCAAGACGTGACCGCTTGGGCTGGTGCCACTGATGACCCAAGTGCCCCAAGTGCCCTTTGTCCGGCAGCACATTCAGCTCCGAAATCTCACGCAGCTTTGTGTCCAAGGGAGCTTTCGCCTGTCAGCAGGCACTCAATAACCGGGTGGTCCTGTTGCTTTAGTTCGAATCACTCACTTGTCGACTCTATCTCGGGGCTCACAGCATCCCGACACCTGACAACAATCGAAAGACAAGCATGTCCCCTCCAGCCTCTGCCAGTT